AAAGTTCCAGGGGGGAGGGGGGATCAGGGGCAACGTCTTCACACCCCTTTCAAGGCATGGAAAGGATCACGACGGAAGATTTCTTGTTGTTCTCGGCCTCTGGGGGCCCCTGCCAGGCCCCGGGATGTCAAAAACCGCTCAGGATGAAGCACCGGTCCCTGGGGATGGGTCCAGACCTCTGGGGTCGACGTTGACAACAAATCATGACGTTTGGGGTTTGGGTAGTTACGCAGGGGGGATGCATCGACCCCCCAAGCTCGAAGAACAGAACAAGGCAGAAGCATGAACCTTTGACGGCCCGCGCGGATTTCTCAGGTCGGCGCCTGGGACCCCCTGGCAGCGCCTCAGGCGCCGCCTCTCGAGCGCTCCGGCGTGCCGATCCAGACCGATCCAGAACATCCTCGCGGACCTCCGGATGCGCATGTGCATGTCATTGCTTGATCTCCGAATTCGTCGCCTCTAGGGGCCCACTAGCCCACCCCGCCCAGGGACGTGCGGATTCACTATCGGGGGCCTATCGCCGATCTATTGTAAATGTGTCGCCGATTGCAGCTTTATGTTGCCCCCCTGAGGTGCTGCCTCCCCGTGATTTCCGTTCCCTTTCAGGGAGGGGAGGAAGGGGGATGGGAAGGACCCTGACATCCTCACGTCGTGAAGGAATCGCGAAGGGAGGCTTTTTTGAACTTAGCGGCCTCGGAAAGCCCGTGCTAGGCGGAAAGGTCTCGAAACAACGATTCGGGATGAGAAGCCAGTCCACGTGAAGGGGTCCAGACCTCTGCGGAGCCACGACGTGGAAACATGACGACTTCGCATGTCTGGGAGGAGGATTTGTTGCCATCAACGGCTAAACGCAGCCCGCGTATTACACAAGCGGGTTGGCGAGGCTCGCAAGGAGTAAAGAGACGAAGGAAAAAGCCAAGGCCAGGTGTCCAGATGGCCAAGGCCAAGTGGCTGCAGGCCAAGTGGCTGCAGACCGCGCCGGGTGACACCTTCGCGGTCTTCGGTGAGCACGTCGAGGAGCGCTTTGCGGGTATCGAGCGGGTCATCGCTTATGTTGCAGCAGGTTCAGGAGCAAGAGGGGAAGATCGAGGAGGCCCTGAACCTGAAGGAGACGGTGCAGGATCTCCGAGCTGAGTTGGACGCCCTCAAGGGGGCGCACGACCAGCTGGACTGCGAGGTGCACTACACGGCAGCAAGACCAGCTGCGCAGGAGGCGGATGGCGAGGAACATATCAGGAAGGAGCTGGAGGACCTGAGTCAGCAGGCGGAGCAGCAGACCACGAGGCACCCCACGAGATCCTCAACGTGTCCATCTGCGGGGGCTTGGGCTTGGACGCGCTGTCCGAGACACTACAGGAGAGGTGCTTGCAAAGCGCGAAGAGCTGGCGCCAGACTTTCGATGCCGTCCACCCGCTGGCGCTCGTCATCGAAGAGAATGGCATGGGCGAGTTCAAGGGCTGCGCCTGCCAGCAGGAGGTTCGGAAGTACTACGACGCTCTGCAAGCAGTTCGCATTGCCAGATGGCTTAGGGACGAAAGCGGTTCTTCAGACGAGGCCGCCACCTTGGTGAAGTTGCATGCGTGCCCGGTCTTCGTGCTCAGAGTGGGGTCTGCTTTCCCAACGCTGAGCGCCCGCACCGTCGGCATGCGCGCTGGCTCCAGGAGCGCCGGCGGGGCTGGGCGCATCCCGCTGTGGGCGTGGCGTCGCATCGCATGCGTTTCTGGCAATCGCTAGGCTTCGCAGGGACTGGCTTATAATGGTTTGTGGACAACCTCCTCGCGGCGTCCCAGGATCTGGCAGCAGCTATCCGCATTCAAGACGATTGCGCGGAACAGCTCAGCCAACGCTGGAGTTTGCAGACCGGAGATCATTCCCGGGAATACTTCTTATGCCCAGGCGGGCACGACAACGCGGTTTCACAGCACAGCTGGGGCAATGAGTTCGTGAAGACGCCGGGCCACATCGGCTCGTGCTACGTGGCAGCCGCGGCGGCGATGATCCAGGCAAGGGCTTCGCCGGGCAACTGAGGGTGACAGGCTTCGGTCCCTGCGCACTGAGTTTCTGGGCATAGCCAAGTATCGTTTCTCGCATTGGCCGTTCGAGAAGGCGCTTGCTGGCAACCCCGACCGCCCGAAGTGTCGGTTCCCCGCCAGCACCTTAGACGTCAGGCCATCGCCAAGCGAGGATTGGGGCATCTTCGTGCAACGACGTCGCACGATCGCCCGGTCTCCAGCTGCCAGGACCAGGCGCTGGATCCAGGCGTGGGCGATGGCGCAGGTGTCGTGGTGCGCCCGCGTTCGTCGCGGCCACGATGCGCGGTCGTGGGCGCCGCGTGTGTTCGGCTACCGCGACACGGCGTGTCTGAGGTTGCATCGCCTGATCGCATCGCGCGGGCAATAGTCGCGGGTGCGGGTGGAAGCCCGACGAGTCCAGGGCAGATCCCAGCCCGTGTGGGAGGAGACGCTAGTCGAGGCGAGACGACCGGTAGGTGAGCGATTGCAATGGTATTGTCGCGAAGCACGAAGTGAGGTAGTGAATTGGGGCGGCGAAATCGCCCGGAACAAGGACAACTAACGAGGAATAGTGATGGTAGACGCACCGGCCTTGACACCGTTCTTGTTGGGATGGGGTCTGCTCCAAACTATGTTATGCATGAGGAGGTTTGGCTCGCACTGCTTTGCCAGATTGGCCAGGCGAGCACCAGATATGGAGCAGGCGCATCTACCTACAGGTGAACGAGCTGTCATCGAAGTCGATGGCGACATAGGCATGTCGAACACCGACGTTTGGCGGGTTTGGCCCTCTGCATTTCGGGGCAGGTTCCAGGAGTCGGGTACCGACCCCGGGAAAACCTGGAACCGCGCAGTGATTGCCACAAGGAGCTGACCCAAGACCACGGATGAGATGGATTGGGCCCCTTGGCAGCCTTGGCATGACGAGAAGGTTCGGCCTCCCGTTCCAAGGAAGGCCCGAGCGCGAGACGAAGCCATTGAGGTAGTTACTTGGCCGCGAGAGTGCCAACAGCCTTGGCAACCTAAAGCTTGTTGCTGATAGGCTCCAGCACACATGGATGGGGCTCAGGGTGACTGGGGACCCTGTCTGACGAGGAGGAGGGAGGCGGAACAGGGCCAACCCAAGACTCGTCAAAGATGTTCAAGATCCCCTTTCGCAGGCCTCGGCAACGGGTCTTTTCCACTGGGGAAAATGTCCCGTTGGGGGACAGCCGTGTGAAAATCGGGAAGCGTGCCAAAGCAGCATTCTCAGGACTTTCAGCGCCACGGGTTAACCTGAACGTCGCGTCTTGGCGATCCCGAGCCGTGCCAGAACATCACTCCTGGGAATTCACCACGGATAAACGTATTGTTGCGCCCTGACAGTCCCAAAACACAATTTCTGGAGTGTTGTCCACGAGAACCCGTGACCGCCTTGCGAATGCTTAACACGAGTGTGCGCGGCGCTAAGGCGAGAGCCACATTTTGAACAGGACCCGCCCTCAATCCGTGGAGCTCTACGACATTTTTAGAACGCGTGTCCGACCTCAATGTGTGAAGTCCTTTATGCCTTACTGAATGTGCGCAGTCATAAGGCAAACGCCACAATTTGAACATGAACCGCTTTCACACAAGCACATGTTTTAGCCGAGTGTGCGCGGCGCTTGGGCGAGAGCCACGTTTTGAAAACGACCCGCCCTCAATCCGACAAGTTGTTGCAACCTTTGAAAACGAATGTGCGCAGCGCTTAAGCGAGAGCTACTTTTCTAAAATGACCCGCTCTGAATCCGTGAAGTTCTTGCAACTGTTTGCAATGAACGTGCATGGCGCTGGGGCGAAAGCCACATTTGAAAACCACCCGCCCTCAATCCGTGAAGCTCCTTACATTTGTAAAACGAATGCGCGGGGCGCTACTGCGAGACCCACACTATGAAGACCACACGCCCTCCATCTGTGAAACTATGGTCAAGTTCTGACAATCAGTGTCATGATATGCGGGGAGGAAGTCCCAGGAGACACGCCCAGCCCGTCTCTCCGATTTTCGATTGGCCTCTGAGTGTGACAGGGATGGGCTATTTAATCAAAAGTTGAGCAGGAGGAGTCAGAGGAGCAGGATGAAGATACGGGCAAATGCGGAAACAAGGAAGAAGGAGGAGGAGGAGGAGAAGGAGGAGGAGGAGGAATGAATGAATGAATGAATAGCTCGTGGAGTCCTGCCGTCACCCCTGTCATACTGCTACAGCACGCTGTGTCAGGCTTACATTCAGAGATAGAGGACTCTGAGTCGGGTAGCTTCTGCACCCCCCGGACATCGCAATACAGCCAGCGCACTCCGCTTAAGAGCGGCACTGGCCGTCCTGCACTCCCTAAAGTGGGCACGCAGCCCAAGGGAGGCAGGCTCCAAAGGCACGGGGACCCTCACCCAAGCCCACTCCCCGACCTCCGACCCTTCCCCTTGCCTTTGGAGCCTTTCTTGGCTCTAGGGGCATATATTATCGGAGTGATAGGAAGAGGACCTGGGAAAGGCGCTGCGGCATAGGTGCTCAAAGCGGGCCGATTAAGTACCGCTGGCTCCACACTGCCACGGGCCGCGAGCTCACGAAACCGTTCGCTCCCTGAAAAGGCCTCCCTGGCCCTGGAAGAGGAAACAAAACAGGAACGAGTGGCCCCCTGTGGGGCCTGCTGACTGGTTTCTCCCTGGAGAGGCTCAGTGGGAAGTGGAGGGACAACTGGCAACTCCAGCTGGCCGTCCGCCTCCTTAGGGTCATCAACGATTTCTAATTCGATGTATGTGTCAAAACTACTGGGGCTAACTGCTGCTTCTCCCTCTGTCCGACCTCCTCCGCTAGCTTCCGCTCCAAGGGCCCGCGTGGGGCCGCGCCTGCTAAGTAGACCCCGCCTTCGAACTCCATCAGCGCCTCGAGCTGGCGAGAGAGAACGAGCCCGATGTTGAGGTCGCGGTGGAAGTGGCAGGAGATGATGGCCTTGGGCTTCTCGCCGTCCGTCGCC